CCACCTCTAGGATGACCATAGAAGGATCTAGCACACGTAACGCCTTGATGGCAGAAATGTAGAGAGTGATGATGTCACATGTGTTGACACCTACAAGGGGATTAGGGGATAGAAATCATACAGCAGCCTGGACAGCGGCCTCCTGAATGCCAAAACTTGAGTAGGCAACTAACCACACTGGCTGGGTGATCTGAAGGTCACCATGTGACCCTCATCCAAGGAGACTGCAGATTACCTTCTTGCCCCTACCTGATTCAACTGATTTATAATCACAGTCTCCAGAATTTTCCAAGGAGCAGTCTGCTATGGGTTTGATTCTAGAATGGCCCCAACAGGCTCATGGTTTTTGTTTTTCGAGATAGGGTTTCTCTGAGTAGCCCTGGCTGTCCTGGAACTCACTCTGTAGTCCTGCCTGCCTCTGCCTCCCGAGTGCTGGGATTAAAGGATGTGCTGCCACCTCCAAGCTAGGCTCATATTTTGAAGGCTTGATTACCAATTCGTGGTGCGATTTTACCAAACCATGTGTGGTAGCACATGCCTTTGATCCCAGCAACTGGGAGACAGAGACAGGCAGATCTTTGTGAGTTCAAGGCAGTCTAATCAAATAAAGAGACCATGTCTCAAAAAAACAAGAACAAAACAAAAACAAAAAAAGAGCCTTTAGTAGTCAGGGTTGAACCAGTGGAAACACATTACTTCCTGAAGTCTTGGAGTTTCTTGTCTGTGGCTTGCCATCATACCTTTCCCATTATGATAAACTGTAACCTTCTGAGACCAAGAGAAGAAATCCTTCTGCCCTGAAGTTGATTCTGTCATGCATTTGGTCACAGAAATACAAAAATAATACACAAACCACTTATAACCTTTAGATCAAGTCAGACAGGCTGACTTCCTCCAAAGATGGATAAAGCTCAGGGTTAACCCAGCTCTCCCAAAGACTTCAAAAACTGCTTCTTAAGCTGGGTGGTGGTGATGCATGCCTTTAATCCCAGCACTCGGGAGGCAGAGACGAGTGGATCTCTGTGAGTTTGAGGCCAGCCTGGTCTACAGATTGAGTTCCAGGAAGACTCCAAAGCTACAAAGAAACCCTGCCTCAAAATAAATAAATAAATAAATAAATATAAAAATAAAAATAAATTGCTTTCATTCTTAACCTGTTCCTTTCTCAAGAACTTCATGTGAGCCCTGAGAGCTACTTGAATGGCCAGTCCACAGTGGCTACATATGGTACCTGGGTGAAGGAGTCGAGTCTCTAAGGCCACCTTGAGGGACACAAGCAGCTGCTGCCTCTGATCTGTCCTCTCCAAGCAGTATTTAAGGTCCTCAATGGCTGGCCGAGAGTCTGGGAAGTCTGAAAGAGAACCATGCCACAGGAATAGGTAAGAAAAAAGGCATAATAAACACTAAAAGAGGTATTATATGTAGTATATAATATATGCATTACAAATATAGGGTTTATATATACAGATACATATGTATATATAGTATATGTACGGTATAAGTGTGTATGCGTGTGTATATATATAGACAGAGAGAGATGGGGGGAGAACAAGATACACAATCTGGCAGAGGCTCAGACAGGAGTCACCCATCAGGTATAAAATGTTGTAATTTTCAATGTAACCTTCACTAGAGGCCAATCTGACCAGAGATGACTGTTTCATCTGACCAGAGGCACAGTTGACTGCCTCACTAACTCTCAAAGACTTTGATACCCACAGCTGCCTTAACTCACACAACACAGCCATCCCTCCTGTGGTGTACAATAGAAGACAGCGGGGGGCTGGAGAGGTGGCCTCAGAAGTTAAGAGTACTGGCTGCTCTTCCAAAGGTCCTGAGTTCAATTCCCAGCAACCACATGGTAGCTCACAACCATCTATATATTGAGCTCTGGTGCCCTCTTCTGGCCTGCAGGCAGAAAAGTGTATACATAATAAATAAGTCTTTAAAAAACAAAACAAAACAAAAGGAGACAACTGAACCGTCCATGCTGTACTAGCTGTGAAATTTAAATTTCAGTCTCTTGGGAAAAGAAAAACAATTTTGTCAAATGACTCCTGCAATTAATGAGGACTGCCTTCAAACTCTTTTTACTTAGAATTTTTATATGTATGAGCATTTGCTTGTAAGGCTAAGGAATGTTATCTGTCTGTGTGCTCCATGTGCCTGGCAGCAGTGAAGGGCAGAAGAGGGTTTCAGACCCCCTGATGCTGGTAACCGAACCTGTGACAGTAACAAATCCTAACTGATGAGCCCTATCCTCCTCACTTTCTACAAGCTGACACTGCATCAACATGACAGACTGACACATAGGGGCCAGTCCCAAGCAGGAGCCAAAATGAAAGAAACAGGAGTGGATATCCAGGAAGTGCTGCTCTAGACTCTGAGCCATGTCAGGAGGTCTAGCTCTGTTCAGCGCACCACCCTGCCAACAGCTGAAGGAAAAGCATAGGCAATCACTGCAGGGTCAGAGGCAGGACCAACCTCGGATGATGCTGAAAAGCTCCTCAATGCGCAGGCTGGCATAGATACGGTAGAAGAATCTCTGCACATGGCAGCGCCAACGACGCAGTGTGTTCCCAGCTTCTGGAGAACACGGCCTGCTGGGGTTGTCCTGAAGGAAAACTTTGCCAAGCCAACCAACCACTCTCTCGATCCACTGTGGAAGACCAGTGTGTGTGAGGTGTAATGACATTAAAAGCGCCAGCCTGACCCAGTAACCACACACTTTTGGCGGTATCCTAAAGGAGCCTCCACCATGTCTGGAAGCCAAAAGCACCAAACCTACACTCCACTGTCCAGGGCTCAATGTGGTCGCTCCAAGAGTTTCCAAGCTTATGACTCTAGGCTATCACTGTGGGAACACCCACTCTGACCAGGCCCCATTACGGCTAATATGCATCCACAGGGGATAGACATTTGAAAAATGGGAGATTGGGAGTGAAGCAGAAACAGGGTGGACAGCTTCATGGGGCTGAACCTAGCTTTTTCACAATGCTGTGAAGCCCATAGCAAAATTACACACCATATACCCCAATAGTATCGGCAACCAGAGGCCTCCACTGGGACACCCTACCTCTATGCTAGGGTACAGGTACTAGGTTGTAGGTTAATCCAGGAGGAACTGTTAAGCGAGCACATATTTTGTACGGCAGTGGAAAGAGGAGGGTCTGGCTGGCCTATCTTGCCATACTTGCCTGGGGAAACCTCTTGGAGCCACCTCTGGCCCAGGATTCTTCTTCTAGCCACAGGACCTATTTAGTACCTTGTCTAGAATTGGCCTCTACCCAGCACCACAATAACCTCAACCGTCACTACTCCTGGTCAACCTGCCTACTGCTAGATATGTCTGTGGAAAATCCACTTTTGCCTTGACAGGACACAGCCCAGGAAGAAGAGTCTCACCTTATGGAACTCTCGCAGAAAGGAGCGCTCATACTCTCCTCGGCAGCGGTCTTCCATCCTTTCCCGGGTCACCTGATGCAGGGTGGTGGTTACGGCCTCAGCGCTGACCCGCTCCAGCAGACTGAGCCTATGCCTGGAGGAGATCCCTGCTCATGGAGAACCCATAACACACATCTGTCCCTTCCCTACAAGGGTTCTTCCCTAAGGGATACACAGGACATACACCCCATACCTAGGTCCAGGACCGAGTGTAAACTTGTTACACAGTAATCCCTGGCTATGCTGGGCAGTGGTGGCACACACCTTTAATCCCAGCACTTGGAAGGCAGAGACAGGCAGATCTCTGAGACAAAGTGAGTTCCAGAACAGCCTGGACTGTTACACAGAGAAACCCTGTCTCAAATAATAAATAAAAACAGGTACAGACGGAAAGACGTCACCAGTCAGTTTACCAGCTCTACATAGAGGTCTACTGAATTCAGGACAAATGGGCATCCAGAGAAACAGAAGCATGGCCAAGGAGGAGGTACTCACAGGACCTGGCTGAGCTGGTGGAACTGCTCCAGTGCCTGTCGGCACCAGCACTGCTGTTTGTCACTGCCGCAGCCTGCGCACAGAGGGCTCTGCAGGAGTCGGTAGTACCTGCGGCGGGCATACCGGCTGTCTAGTTCACCCTCAAGCTCGGGGTCTGTGCCCCCTTCTCCTTTTCTCTTGCTCTGCATATAGACTCTCAGGAAACGGCTATAGAGGCGCTGGACCATCTCCTGGAATGTCCTGGGGGTGGAAAAGAACAGGACTCCCCGTAACATGATGTGAACTTTTTCCCGAAGCCCCTGAGCTCCAGAGCCCATCAGCAAGCCCAGACGAGTCCATTTCTCTAGGAGTTCTAGGCTGTGCAGGTAGGGATCCAAGCGGCTTTCCAGCAGACCGAAGGCATCCAGGAGCAGCTGGAGGCATTGCGGTTCATCGACGGAGTTTTCGCGCTGGGCGATGGCATTCCAGAACTCCGGAGCAATGTTGCCCTGCAGGTCGTTCTGCAGCACCTCCACGAACCACTCCTCCAGGACAGAGTGCAAACCGTGGCCCCTCAGAACCTCCACCGCTGCACGGAGCTCTTCCTCCTTTGGTGGAACTCCACCGCTGGTCCGGGAAGATGCCTGGAGCACGGAAAACCGTGAGGGGGGTGGGGAGGTGGGAGTAAAAAAAAAGGGGGAGGGGGTGAAAAAAATCAGCAGCCAAAGGCTGCTAGAGGAACCAAACGAATCAGATAGCTGAGGAAGGAGGCAAACCCATCACAGGATGCTCGCACGGAGCTGTGAGGCCCCAACTCCCTAAATCATGCAGAGTCGCGACCCGACAGGCCCGCCAACCTTTCCCAGGCCTCACCAGCCCCAGCGCGGCCGGCGGCACCAGACCAGTGCTCACGGTATTCCAAGCAACCAAGAGCTCCTGTCCAGGCCTAGAGTCGCAGTCATCGGCGGTGGCAATTGCCACCGCCTCCGCCGCCGTCACCGCCACAGCCTCGGCCTCCATCAGCGTCCACAAAACAGACCCGCCCAACGCGGCGCACGGTGATGACACCAGCGCGGGACTGGCGCGCCGCCGTGACGTTCGCGGGTCCGCGCGCCGCGGAGACAGTGCGCAGGCGCGGGATTGGCGGTGCCGGGCGGCGGTTGAGGCTTCCAGGCGCGGCGCCGACCATGACCCAACAGGGCGCGGCGCTGCAGAACTACAACAACGAGCTGGTCAAGTGTGAGCAGCGGGCGCGGGAGGCCGCGGGCTGCGGGCGGGGATCCGGCCGACCCACCCGGGAGGCCGCGCGGACGCGCTTCACGAGCCCCGCTCTGCGGCCTTGCCCCGTGGCATGCCGGCAGGTCGGGCTCCGAAGCTCACGAGCCCGCAGCCCACGGCTCTTGTCTTCCCGCCCCCTCTAGGCATCGAGGAGCTGTGTCAGAAGCGAGAGGAGCTGTGCCGGCAGATCCAGCAGGAGGAGGACGAAAAGCAGCGGCTGCAGAATGAGGTGAGGCAGCTAACGGAGAAGCTGGCCCGCGTCAACGAGAACCTGGCGCGCAAGATCGCCTCTCGCAATGAGTTTGACCGGACCATCGCCGAGACCGAGGCCGCCTACCTCAAGGTGGGGCTTTCAGCTGTGCGCTGTCAGTACGGCCGGACGGTGGAGCCGTCTGTGGGATCCGAGGGAGTAAGCAGCGGTGTATGGGAAAGAGTACATAGTGTGGGCCAGAACAACTTGGTTTTGCAGTAAGGGAGGAGGGCTTGGGTGGGTGATTAACCCACACACACACACACACTCCTGTGGCCGGTTGGTTTCTGCACAGGCCAGATTAAGATTCCCATACTCCAGCGAGAGAGGCTGAAGCGGTGGGATTTTCCTACCAGAGAAGTTAACAATTCTTTTATTTCCCTGACCCCAGATCCTGGAGAGCTCCCAGACTCTGCTGAGTGTCCTCAAAAGGGAAGCTGGGAACCTGACTAAAGCCACAGCCTCAGACCAGAAGAGTAGTGGAGGCAAGGACAGCTGACGAGTGCCCGTCTCAGCCGTGGCCTATGGCTGCCCAGTCCCCGACGTGTCTGTCCTAAAGCATCTCTGTTCTTCGTGACCTCAGATGCCTTCCCAAGATCTCAGGTGCCCAGAGGGACAACTTCCGACCTCCACCTGCCTTGGGTGACGAGAAAAGCCCTAGGACAGGAAAACTCCAACGGGAAAGGAGTTCCCAGCTCTGTGTCATGGGAACCCTGAGCTCCTGGTTAGCTCCTTGAGGGGCCTCTCTCTGAAGCCCCTGTACTTCCTTGGGCTGCCAGGAAGGTCCTGGTCCTAGTCCAAGTACTGTGGGAGCCCCTCACTTTGTCTCCTCAGCCACTAGGGGCCCAGGCCAGGCATGCTGAGGAAAGATTCTTGGCTCCAGAACTGAAACCTTAGGGTCGATCCCCATGGCCTCTGACGTTTCAATAAAGGTTGTTTTGCAAAGGTCTGTGGCATCGTCTGCCAGCTACCATGCATCCTGTTGGTAGGAAGGCCTGCAGTTTTCCCTGACTGTCCTATCTTCAAAACACAGAACTGAGGCCAGCCCTAGCCCCTAACTCTCCTTATAAAGGTGCTAGTCTCTTCCCTGAGGCCAGCACACAAACCACTTTCCTGTGGGGGCTTTGCTATATCATGGTGGTCAGTACAGAACCTGGCTCAAAGACAGCTGGCAACACTATATTGTTAGGAATGCTCTTAAGACGAGCCTCTCCGCCTATGCAAATAATTCCAGTTAGACCAAATTAGACTTAATAAAAAATGCCCACGTTTAATAAATGCGGCACTCCAGGGTGGCCAGGAACGAGGTGGCAAGGGGGGGGGGAGCAAGCAAGAGAGATCGGGCGGGGGGGGGGGGGGGGAGAGCACACACAGAACCCGAAAACCATGTGTCCCTTTTGGCAGCAGCCTAAATAACCTGTGAGAGTGGTCCTGACCCTCCCTGGGGAGGGGGGCAGAGCTTGGTGGGCCTTTCCAGAGGTGGAGTCCAGACCAAGGCAACTCCCAGAGGGAGGGGGCTTGAGATGGAGTTTTCTGCTCCATTGGCACCCCAAGGATGAATGCTGGGGGCTGGGGTGATGCTTCCAGTCATCCCAGACTCCTTGAATAGGGGGGCATCAAAGGGCTGGAGTCTCACTTTCCAATATATATACCAGCTGTTTTGGTTCTAGGTCTCAGCATGGACTGGGGTTCTTCATCTTGTCCATTCCTCAAAGTTCTGTTTGGTCCAATATATTGCTGCTGCTGCCAGGACCCAGCTCCCAACCACAGGTGTTGCTTACTCCTATTTTCAGGAGCCCTATGGCCCAGCTCTTGACCACAACTTCTCGGGCAAGTTTGGAAGTATTTGTTGACCAAGAAGATCCAGAAGAAAGATTTGATAGTCTACACCTATAATCCCAGCACTGAGGAAGAAGGGGGCCTTAAGTTCCAGGCTGTTCTAGGCTGCATAGTAAACTGTAGGCCAGCTCGGGGTACAATGTGAGGCCCTTTTTTTAAACAAAAAGTGTCCATAAAACTGGGCTTATTCTCTGAGGAAAACATACATACACTCCATCTGAGCCAAGTCAAGCATTATATCTGCCCTTAGGTGACAGGAAGCCATTTGCTCATGTCTGTAGATAGCCCTACATCTTCACGGCTGCCTAGGCCTCTGAGAACACAGCTTCCAAGCGGGCAGCTCTGCATCTCCCTAAACTCTTGGGAGTTCTCTGTTGCTACAGCCTTGTTACAGTCTCATAGGGCAGGAGGCATCCAAATCAAACATGAGAAAAGATTTCCCAAGTTCCACTTAGCCCCATTCCAGTAGTGTAGCTACATTCCTAGGCTCCTGGCCCCATGGTGAATCCTGTCATCTACAACACTCACCTTCCTCCCACCTGGCATCTAGATCCCTGGGACATGGAGTTCCAGACCCCACAGGGTAGGTCCACTTCCCACTGCACTAACTTTGAGGGAGAAAGTAGCAGGTTTAGTGTGGGGAGAGAACAAGAGCAAGACCTCAAGATATAAGAACACCAGACTAAGGCCACCTTTTGCTTCTTTGCACAGGTACCCAAGTTAGGCCTTCACCTTATTCTCAGACTGAGGACTGTGTAAAAAAGGCAAAAGCAGCCTTGTTACAGTGTTGTTTATTGAGTCCAATATCAGAAAGAAAAAAATACCCTATCATCTATCATGAAGGGTGCCACCATAGTAGAATCATGGACTAAGGGCAGGAGCTTGGGGTTCATTCAACAAAGAACAAATAGCTAGGACAGCCTCTCACTCCTGACAGTGGCCCCTCCCCAGAAGGTAGGAGCCAAGAGGCAGGACAGACAGCACTCTGGTGCAAGGTCTGTTCAGGCTCCCTACCTCATCACAGATGAGATGTTATGGACAGATGTCAGCCTGTCCCATAGGCAATTCCCACCTGTTCTTCCTTGGCACCCCCAAAGGGGAGTGAGATTCAGACCTGAACCTAAAGGTAGAAGGCGACAGGGAGAGAGGAAGGCCCAAAGAGCCAGATGGAAGGGATACAGAATAAAGTTAGGGCTCCTGGGCATTGACTGGCTTCCAGAATCACCACACCTGGGGCTAAGTCTTAGCCATCCTGGCAGTTCCAGGGGTCAGAAATAGAGGGCTGGCTCGCTGCGGAAGTCCGAGAGATCATTCTGACTGGCTGGTGTGAGCTGAAAGAATAGAATATAGCCACTAAGCCTTTCCAGGCATCAACCCCTTCCCCAGTAGGCTAGCCCGTGAGGGTCTGGGTGTTCACCCCTCTCTCCACCTGGCTTACCATGACCTCCTTCGGTGGGAGTTCCACCTCACTTGGAGCCTGCACCAGTGTCTGTTCCTGCCACTTGCTGAAGGCCATGGAATGCTTGGGAGTGTAGCTGGACAGGCCTGTGAGCCAAAGAGAATAGGTATGGATACCTGGAAAATGTGGCCCAGGTTCCACTTACAGCCTGCCCATCCCAACGGGCGGTGATTACCTGAGCTGCCATCTGGTAGTCGGGGGCTCTCAGGTCCCACACTGCTTACAAATGTGGCCCGGGGCAGAAAGAGGGAAAAGGACTTCTCTGAGTCAAGCCCCACTTCCTCCTCTTCACCATCTTCCTCTTCCTCTTCCTCCTCCTCCTCCTCTTCTTGGGCCAGGGAGCTCTCAGAAGGGTATTCAAATGTTGTGTGCAGGCTCTTGTCATTGAAGGAGATCTTCATCTAGGAGTAAAAGCCACGTCGGCAGGGGCCCTTCCACCCAGCTAAGCAGAGGCATTAACAGGGAGAAAAGACCCTTCTACCAAGAGATATAGACCCTACCTATCCCATCCTCTGCTTGCAGCAGCTCCTAAGACTAATTCCACGTTCTGGGTATCTGAGCACCAACCATCACACTGCAGGAGCCTGCTTAAGAGGCTGATACCCAGGAAGTTGGTGCTAGGTACCATCATGCATTTTTCAGGCTAGTGGGGAGTCCCACTTCCATAGAGTTTAGGATACCAGCAATACCATCAATGACCGCCCCTACTGTGTATACCTCAGTGACTCCAGAATTTCATATTCAAGCAAATTTTCGCTTCTGTCCCAGTGGCCTGGTTCTGAAGGACAGAAAGCTGTGGGCATCCTCTGTCACGATCCTCCTGCATGCTGAGAGTATCCCTGTCCCCGCGATTCAGTTATGATTGCTGAGGTTCCCTAGCCCTCAGCTGCGCTCAGCCTAGTGGGCTGGGAATGAACATGAGCACTCATGTGCAGCAGATGGGGCAGTCTTGCCGGGCTCGAAATATTAAACTCCCAGGCACAGGACACCGACAGCCAGCTCAGGTTCCCCCTCTTCCCCTGGAAGGAGCCAGAGGCCCAGCAGGATGGAAGAGTAGCCTAGCAGGAGGGTTGAGCCTGTCCTGAGGCGGCAAAGTGACCCTGGCACAGGCCACAATGCACAAGGGCCCACAAAAGCAGGAGGCCTGAACAAGCCGGCATCCTGCCTCCTGTCCCTCTCAACCAACGGCCACACTTGCCCACATGGCCATTAATACCCCTGAGCCCTCTCTGCCCATCGGGAGATTTTCCCCCCCCGCCCCAGGACCAGGGCCTGCTCAGAGAGATCTGTTCTCGCAGGTCCTCCCTACTTTGGCCATCTGCACACATGAACAGGAGCTGGAGAGACTCCCCTGGGTCAGGAGATGTCTACTCCTGTCATAATGAAGGCACGCTGTACCCTGCTCTGGCCTCAGAGGCCTACCTAATCCTTGAAGACTAGATTGAACTGGAGACAGATAAGGTAGACATTGTCACCTGGCCTTCCTGACTAGCCTTCTGAGACAGGTACCCTAGTAGGAGCCCAAGACAGTAGAGGGCCTTCTAAATCTAAGTGGCCCCCGGATGGAGCCCTTGAGTCCCATCCCCCCTACTACTGAGAAAACAGGACCAGCTGCCAGGGCCCAGCTGGATTAGCACACCCTCATTAGTCTGCATGACCAGTTCCCAGCAGGGAGGCTGAGGGGATAGATCCATGTGGGTATAGTGCCTGGCACGGCCTGGCCAGGCTGGGGGTGGGGAAGTGGCTCGTAAGCCTGCCAGTCTCAGCTGCCCCCCCCCCCCAGGTCACTTACTATCTCCCTTGTCTCCTCTGCCAGACCAGTGTTCATAGGCCTCCTCCCTTCCAGCAGAGGTCAGTGGGTCACATGGTGACTCATGCTTATGACCCCTGCCAGGGTGGAGCTGCCAGGGCAGGCGGGGGAGGTACAGACAGGGATTGTCACTGTATATACCTGGTCATCAGTATCTGGGGGACTTTACCCAGCACACCTCATACAGCAGGCAGGTGATGGAACCTCTGGGCCTTCACGGGGGCCTTTAGTGGCTGAACCTCCCAGCTTTTACAGGGCCCTTTTGTTCTCCTTCAACCCGCCCTACCCATACACACCCAGCTTGGGTTACCAAATGGTGTCCACCCTGGGACTCAAAGCAGGGAAACTGCTCCACTGGCCCGGCTGAAGGTGATGTTTAGCCAGACCCTGCCCCCACTCCCTTGCACACACTGTCTGGCTCCCATCCCCCATTGGCCCCCAGCCAAAGTTCCCAAGGGTGACAGGACAATAGATCAGAGCCACCCAACTGGGATATCCACACCTGCTTCCTCCTGAGGGCAGACCCTGCACCAGTGAGATTTCATAAATAAGGGTCCATTTTCTAGGGGGTCACCCATGAGAAGACTTGGGGGAGAGAAACTGCTCATAAAGAAAGGCAGGTGAGAAGACACTCGGGCCAACGGGGGGAGCCAGTTGCAGACTGAGGGGAGCCGATGCTGCTGGAACCAGCCCAAAGGACAGACGCACCTTCAAATGGGAGCCAGGCTGAGGGCCACAACTGAGCCACAGAAAGTTGGGGTGAAGTTTACACCTACCGGGAACGGGGGAGCCTGAGCCCTGAGGACACTAACATGCTTGGGTGTGGCACAGGAACCAGAGGTGGGAAAGAGGAAGAAGCAGCCAACCAGGTAGGAGCCACTGGTGCTCCCAATCTGGGAGGAAGGGGTAAAAGGATACCCCTCTTGCCGAGAAAACACTGGGGGGCTAGGAGGGAAGAGAGGTGCAGAGAGGGACTCTCTTTCCCAATAGATAACCAAAATGGAATGTTTCTGCCAAGCTGCCTCACAAGGACACTGGTCAATAAAGTCAGCCCTCACTCCCCAGAGCAGGGCTGAATCCCTGTGAAGTCACAATATGCTCTCCAAGTAGGCTACCCCACACCATACCCTGCTGCCTAGAAGGCCCAGTGAAGAGCAACCCCTCAGCTATACGCTGGAAAACCACGGGCATTGCCTTGGGGTAACCCAGTCATGGGGGAGGGGAACCAAAGTGTGCAGAGGCCCCAAAATCCTCTGGGCCCACCTACTCCAACCAAGAGGAAGCCCAAGTCTGGGCCAGGACAATGACTTGAGCTGCAAAACAAACACTCTGGGTTTCTCTAGGGGCTGCAGGTAGGAGGAATGTCAAGGAAAGGACAAAGTCCAAGAAGGCCTCACCCTGCACCCTGCTCTGAAGGTTGGGCAGCTTTGGGCCCTGCCCCCTCCCACAGGCATTCTGTCTTGCTGGGCAGGGCAGCTGGTGCATGCACAGGCAGGATAGCACAACCAGCAGGTTGTGCTGCTACAGAAGGCCCTGCCCAGGCCACTTGGCCGTAATGAGCATCGTCCATCTGGACCCCCAACTCCCTCAGACTGGCCCAGACAGCCAAGCTGCTGGCCAGGGTCCTACCCCCAACAGTATTTGGGCCTTGCCCTGCTTTTGTTTTTGAGATCTACATGAACATCACACCTGCTCTTCTCACTTTAACCAACCAGGAATGACTCCCACAGTTGCCTTCAGACAGGGCAGGCAGGGTAGCCAGGCTTAGTATCAGCCTTTCAGTCTCAAGAGGAAGCCACGTTCATGGTGGAGGAGTATCCCCGGATAAAAGGTTCTAGAAACAGGAATCTGAACTCAGCTCCTGTCCCATGAGCTCCATGGCTTCATGAACCTCCTAAGCTTCAGCTTCCTCCTCAACATAAGGGGTGCTTTTCATCACTTCTTTGTCAAGTACGGGGAGGGGCCACCTCAGAGATAGCAAGGTCAGGGTCACAGGGAAGGAAGGAGTAGAAAGACGGGGAAGGGGCCTGGGTCAATATGGCCCAAGAACTCAGGGTAAAGAACAGACGAGAGTGGAAGAGATGTGGGCTCACGTGGTAAAAACTGTTACAGCTCTGAGTGTCCTCACCAGAATCCCCCAAGAGTGATCACTGTAGATTCCTGACCCAGCAGATTAATTGGCAAGGAAGATGATGCCAAGGCCAATGGTGTCAGGAAGCAGAAAGGGAGGGGAAAAATAAAAAGAGTGAGGAGGTGTGGCTCGTCACAAAGGATCCCCATGGAAACCGAGGCTGGAGGTGGCGAACCCGGGCAGCCTAGCTTCTAGCTGTTCTGGAGCAGAAACTGTGGGTGCCATCTTGGCAGAAGGGAAAGGTGCACCTCCCTTTACCAGCTGACCGAAAGTCACGTGTCTTGGAATTTGCCCTAGGGGACAAACACAGACCCTGGAACAATCAGGAAGAATCTGAGGAACGCTTTCCTTGTACCCAGAGGGTTCCAAGCCACTAGCCAGAGATAGACAGGAAATAAGGCTCTGGCCAATTCTGAGCCTCTAGGGGATTGTTCCTTGAGTCTCTCTGCTCAAGGCCCTCTTGACCGAATCTGGCAGGAAGCACCGGAGCTCAGTCCGTGCTTACAGAGGCAAAGGCCTGCCAAGCTCTAGCTCCTGTACTTTCCAGGGTTCTGCGAACCTCCAATTGGCTCCACACAGCTATGTGTTCAGGCTGAGCTCAGAGTGAGGAGGGTCTGCCCTAGCTTCTCATTTACATTCTCATATCCAGGCTCTGGATATCTGTACAAGCCAGGTTCCATAAGCATATGCCAGGCTTATCAAATCAAAGACCAAGTGAGAGCCAACAGGCCAGGCTATTTCCTGAAGGTAGACCTGCAATTAGTTGGGACTAACCATTCCAAAGGGTTGCAGGGGCTCCGCGCTGCCTGGCCAGCTCTTCCTTCCAAACCTCGGGGGTAAACAGCAGGCTGACCAACCCCAGCCTTAAACCATCATAGCTCCACAAGGGCCCAGAACCTGGCACAACCACACAGCCCAAGTCTGTCATCTATCCAGAAACCGACCATGCCAGCAGCCCTCTCCCTAACATTTACCTTTTTTCTGGAAGAGCCAGCCTTGATGAGGCAGGACTTCTGCAGGGCCAGGTAACCACCGATCACTTCAATCTCATGTACAGTGGGGTAGCGTTTCTTAAGGGTGTTCTCCAGGGCAGGGTGGGGTCCCAAGAGGCTGTCAGTGTCCTGTTCCTCAGCCTCCTGCTGCTGGGACTGCCCATTGGCCTTACTGAAGTGTGGCTCCTGAAGGGTCTCTGGCTTCCTCTTGGGCACCACTATGAAAGTGTTGCTGCCTCGGTTTGGGAGCTCTGCGGTGTGCCCAGGCCTGGCAAGGTGCAGGTGGTACTGGGGGGACCCACCAACTGCTGAGGAGGGCAGTTGGGCTTCTTGGGAGGGCTCCTCTTCTGAGTCTACTTCATCAATGAAGGTGACTGGAAGTCCTGGCCGCCCAGGCTCCTGGCCATTCTTGGCCAAGCCAGGAACCAAGCCCTCAGTCGGCTCTGCTTCAACAGTGGTTGGTAGGAATGGAGGTGGTGAGGATGACTGCTGCCACCTAACAGACCTGTCTGTGACAGCAGTGGCTGTCCGGGGGCAGCCCTCTTCCCTAGCTGCCCACTGCATCTCAGCAGTCAAGGTACTCCTCTCTAGGACAGGCGCACCATCCACTGTAGACACCGGCTGGGCTTTGAGACCCTGGCTCTGAGAGGCCCAGCCTACCTCCCGGTTTGGCTCCTCTGACTGCCTCCCCTCCGAAGGATGGTTCCCAAGGGCCTTGCGCTTGGGGATCAACACGAAGGAGTTGCGGGAGTTAACACGGAGGTTGGCCAGGGCCCTGGCCTGAAGGTCCCCGATTGGGATAGTTTCCACATCTGGCTTGGGGGCTGGCCTTATTTCGAAGGAGTCATTGGCGCTGGTGGCAGAGGAGACCCACCGGCGCTGGTTGGGAGTGGCACTGGTTGGGCTGGGCGCCGGCAAGGCAGGGGGCCCAACCGGAGTGGCACTTGGGGTCCCAGGGCTTGGGGGTGAGTGGAGGGAAGGTTCCCCTGACTCCACCTTTGGCTTCCACTTGCCCGGAACAGGAGGAGAGCCCGACAACCCATTGACAGGGCCGGCCGGGAACTTCTGGGTCACGGGTCCATTAGAAAGCGAGTGATTGACCGCACCGCGGGGCAGGCCCCGGGGGTGGACAGTGAAGGAGTTGCTGCCCGTCTTCCGTAGGAAGTCGCTGCGCCGGGCCCCAGGACCCGCGGTACCATCGGGGTGCGCGGGCTCGCAACAGGCGGAGCGCTGACTGGCGCGCGGGGCAACGGGAACAGGCGAAACAGGGAGTGCGGGCTGGCTGGGACGCACCGATGGGGCAGAAGCCAACGACCGATTGGTGGGAGCGCGCGTGGCAGTAGATGGAGGCGCCACGGGAAGCTGCGGAAGCCCAGAGTGGGAGCGCTCCGGGCTCCCGCGGCTGCGGGGGGAGGCCGGCGAGTCGAACTTCTCCAGCAGTCGGCTGACACGGCCCGGCTGAGGCGCCTCCTGAGGCGCCTCGTACACCACTACCTCGGCAGCGCGGATGCCCGCAGCGGGCGGCACGGCGGGCGGGAAGCCAGGAGTTGACTCGATGATGAGGATGTTGTCGGCTCGGATGGTACGCACGCCCGGCACGCGACGGTACAGCTCCAGCAGCTGCTGCGCCGGCCGTGCCCCTCGCCGCCGCTCCGATTCAAGTCTCATGAAGGGGTTCTCGCTCAGAGGACCCAGACTCTCCGCCAGAACCAGCTTCTCGTTCTGTCCCTCCGGCGCCGCTCCGGGTCCCGGGCCTCCACTCAGGGCGGCCAGTTTAGCTCGCCTCCGCTCAAGGATCTCCCGCTTCCAGGCGGGCATCGCGGTGCGCGACCCCGGGCCCGGCCGCCCTAGGCCGGCCATGCTTGCGGACGCAGCCGCGGACGGGACTGCACAGGCTGCAGCTCGCCGGACAGACTCTCAGCTACCTGCCTCAGTACCGCGCCGTGCCACGCCCCCCTTGGTAGCCGCCAATTGGGCAAGTGCGCTCTGACCCAAGGGCAGACTTGCCCGCCAATGGGAGAGTTATATGGCCCAATTGATTGGAGGACACTCACTTACACCCTCCCCCTAAGGCGTCCTTATTGGACTGCGACCGGCACCGGCCAATCGCTATTGGTAAAGATCAGTGGGCACGCTCCCCGGCGAGGCACGGCTCAATGGCAGCCCCTCACTTCCGCCTCTGCGCTCTGGACGCGGCACCTGTGGGCCACAATTAGGACTGGTTTTGGCACGGCACCTAGCAGACCCTTGCGACCTAGATGACCTTGGTACAGTTCCGACTTCCTCGACACCCAGGCAACCACTGTTTTCTTGGGAAAGAGCCGTGCGCAAGAGCCGGAGGTCCTTGCTCCCGTGGACAGTATACAAGCGCACGGGGCTTTCCACCTTTGGGCCCAGGCCCTGCTCCAATCAGGAGTCCTTGAACCTCCGCGGACAGACAGGCGAGGGCCCCTTCAGGACCTAGAAATCCTGCGTCTTAGATCCACTCAGGCATAAGAAAATTATTTTTTCGAGAATCTCGGTTTTGTAGATCCCAGAGCTGTTGATTAGACCTATGTATGTGAGCCTCTGGAACAGTTTGCCATTTCTGGCCCTGCGCACCAAGGAAGCAGCCTCTTTTCTACACACGAACAGGTTACACATGCAAGCAGAGCGACACACACTTAGGCAGTTCTGTCACACAAAAGAGCACAAAAACTAGGGCAAAGGTAGTCCCAGTTCTGTTGAACTCCCTCCAAGAGTGGGAAGGGGGCCAGTGACTGGGTCACAACCTCACAGCCGAGGCTGGGCGATGGTGGTGCACGCCTTTAATCCCAGCACTCGGGAGGCAGAGGCAGGTGGATCTCTGTGAGTTCGAGACCAGCCTGGTCTACAAAGCTAGTTCCAGGACAGGCTCCAAAGCCACAGAGAAACCCTGTCTCGAAAAAAAAAACAAACAAACAAAAAACAAAACAAAAAAAACCTCACAAGCCGGGCGGTGGTGGCGCACGCCTTTAATCCCAGCACTTGGGAGGCAGAGGCAGGTGGATCTCTGTGAGTTCGAGACCAGCCTGGTCTACAAAAGCTAGTTCCAGGACAGGCTCCAAAACCACAGAGAAACCCTGTCTCGAAAAACCAAAAAAAAACAAACAAACAAACAAAAAAAAAAAACCTCACAGCCGACAAGTCTTTAGGAAGTTTCTTTGGGCAGAACTGCATATTACCCAATCTTTACCCCCTTTCCAGTGTACACAGTAAGGCAACTGCCTGGAGGCATTAGAAAATTGGGGAACCGGGTGGTGGTATCCCAGCACTTGGGAATCAGAGGCAGGCGGAGTTCGAGGCCAGCCTGGTCTACGAAGCAAGTTCCAGGATAGTTACACAGAGAAAACCTGTCTTGAAAAAAATAAAATAAGCTGGGCGGTGGTGGCGCAAACCTTTAATCCCAGCACTTGGGAGGTAGATGCAGGCGGATTTCTGTGAGTTCGAGGCCAGCCTGGTCTACAAGAGCTAGTTCCGGGACAGGCTACAGAGACCCTGTCTCAAAAAAAACAAAAAAAAAAAAAGAAAAGAAAAAGAAAAAACGAAAGAAAAGAAAATGAAAAAACGAAAGAAAAGAAAAAGAAAATAAATAAAAAAAGAAAAATAAAGAAAATTGGGGACCAAGTCTGTGTTTCCTTTATCTGCCCTACAGACAACAGCCAGCTCTGTTTCATGGACTGTGGGTCTCTGCAAAAACAGTGGATTCTGCCTAGGGACATGTGCCTTTGCTGGCTTCTGGGTGCGTGGCAGTCTACAATCTGGCACCACCTTAACACTGACTTACCTGCCTGCCCATTCCATTAAACAGGAGATTATAAACTGAATTCCAGCTATCCGGAAGCCTTTCCCAAATCACTTTTTATTTTTCTCTTGATAGCATCAGAGATTGAACCTAGAGCCTTTTGGATGCTGGGCAAGCACTCTACTACTGAGCTATGGCCCCTCAAATCACTGCTCCAACGGAAGCTTCTAACACAGCTTCTTATTAAGCTCTGAGCCATCTCTCCAGCCCCATACTCAAAGCTTCTTTACTCAGATTTCCCAGTTCCAAATCACCAAAACAAAACAGGAACACAAAACAAAATCTAAAAAGTATTAAAGGAAAACTACTCCAAAGTTCAGCTTGTATCTTGCTTTGACAAAAGCCATCCCTATCCTGGGTTGGACACGTTTTCTTCCAACTGGGGCAAATCAGCCAGGCTAAAGTAGCCATGCCCAGACAGAGGAGGGCCAAGCTGCCCTACTGGAGCACAGATCAGCATCCCTGTTCTGCCAAGGGCCACATGCAGTTATTAGCCTAGTGACTCTGTCACCAGGAGACATGGCAATGTCTCAAGAAACTTTTGGTTATTACAGACAAAGGCTGCTCCTGACATCAAGTGAGCAAAGTCTGGCACACTACAAACATCCTACATCTTCAGGACAGTCTCTGCAGCCACAATAAAAACTGACAGGGGCTGGTGAGAGAACCTATACAGCTGCAACTCATTCCTGGAGCTTGAATGCCCTCTTCTGGCCTCCACGGACATTGCACACTTGGTGCACACCATATATAAAAATCCTTTTTTTTTTTTTTTTTTTTTTTTTTTTTTTTTTTCCGAGACAAGGTTTCTCTGTAGCTTTGGTGCCTGTCCTGGAACTAGCTCTTGTAGACCAGGCTGGCCTCGAACTCACAGAGATCCACCTGCCTCTGCCTCCCGAGTGTTGGGATTAAAGGTGTGCGCCACCACCGCCCAGCAAATCCTTTTCTTAAATGATTATTATTATTATTATTATTTTTAAATATTTATTTATTTATTATGTATACAATGTTCTGTCTGTGTATATGCCTGCAGGCCAGAAGAGGGCACCAGACCTCATTTCAGATGGTTGTGAGCCACCATGTGGTTGCTGGGAATTGAACTCAGGACCTTTGGAAGAGCAGGCAATGCTCTTAACCGCTGAGCCATCTCTCCAGCCCTTATTATTATTTTTTTGCAAGAATGATCTAGCCGGGCGGTAGTGGTGCACGCCTTTATCCCCAGCACTTGGGAGGCAGAGGCAGGTGGATCTCTTTGAGTTAAAGACCAGCCTGGTCTATAAAAGGAGTTCCAGGAGAGCCAAGGCTACACACCCTGATGTTTTGTTTGTTTGATTTAAAAAAGTTCCAGCTCTGCTGAAGAAGCTGTGCTCTCCAGGTCACATTAGATCTGTCAACTATTAACTTTTGTTGATGCTCTTCTAGACTCCACTCCCCTCTTCTCTCAGGCTGCTGCATCTCACAGCCCAGGTCAGCTTCCAACTACACTGCCGGTGATGACATTGTAGTTTTGATCCTCCTCCCTCCACCGCACCCAATTGGGGATTACAGGTAAACACTCTTAACAATGAAGCTATAGCCCCAAGTCCCTTTTCTCCCCTTTCTTTCTGTTTTACAGCCACTTCAGGAAACACTGCGACATCCTGTTTTAAATCCTTTAAAAATGTAAAACTTAGAGCTTAAGATGGCTCAGCAGGTAGAGGTGCTTGCAAGCGGGCCAGACTACCTGAGTGTGTTCTGATATCACAAGGCTAACAAATCACCTGCATGAGTGGTGTGGCGCAGGTGCACCTACATACACACACAAAGAGATTTAAAATGTAAAAACCATAATGTAGCTCAGTTGGTAGGATGCTTGCCTAAACCAGGTGTGATGGTGCATGCCTTTAATGCTAGCCTTTGGGCGAGAGAGGCCAGCCTCTGTGATTTTGAGGTATGGTGTACAGAGTAAGTTCCAGGCCAGTCAGGGTTACGAAGTTCCTATTTCAGTAGTAATAGTACTACTAATAATATAATGCTTGTCTAGTATACATGATGCCCTAGGTTTGATTCCCAGAATCACATAAAACTGGAAGTTAAGCCAGGTGGTAGTGCCACACACCTTTAATCCCAGCACTTGGGAGGCAGAGACAGGTGGATCTCTTTGAGTTCAAGGCCAGCTAAGTCTACAAGGTGAGTTCAAGGACAGGCTCCAATGTTACAGAGAAACCCTGTCTGGAAAAAAAAAAAAGAAACAAAAACTAAACAAACAAACAACATAAAACCAAACAAAAAAGCAAGTTTGAAGCAAGTGTTGGCTACATAACACCCTATTTAGAAAAAAAAAGTAAAAAACGATTCTGACTCTCAGATCTGGGCCACTAAAAAAAACAAAACAGACCTCAGACCATCATTTTTCAACTTTATAGGGTGTCATCAGAGCTCACCAGTGGCATGTACACTAACACGGAGTCAAGGGCTCTGTTTTGGCGCTCAAGGAAGTACAGCCTGTTGTTTTCAGCTGGGACAGTAGTGGTGCAAGTTACCCATCTTCTAAAATAAGAAACAAGAACTTTCAAAAAATATTTAGTCTAACACCCATTGTGCTCTACCATACGTTCCGGGGCACCAACCACCTCAGCCCTGTGAGCCGCTGTCCACACGGCAAGGAACATCTTCATGTTCACCTACTCAAACATTGAGATGTCGTCTATATTGTTGATTTCAACAAACATTCTTTCCATCTCAGCAAACGGTCTCATTTGGCACACGACTGACATAAAATCAAAGACCTTGGGTCAATAAACTCAAGTTGTTCACAAGCTCTTATGTAAAGTACCCATTGCCATGAGCACGGGAGAACCTGTTCCTGTCTTTGGTCCTTCAGAGAGGTTTGTCTAGCTCAGGTGTACTAATGATGCCTGCCACCAGGTGGTGGGGATCGCTGTGAAACTGCAATCTGTTGGGCCAGGAAAGCAATACCTTGAGACCAAGAGTTTTTTCTCAGACTGCAGATAATCCTATTCATGCCCTTTTGCAATAGTTTGATGTCTCTGTGTGGGATGAAATGAAGAAAGGACTATTCTTTCCCTGGACAGGAAAGAGTGACGCAAGCTCTCTCACACTATCGATCGATGGTTTAACAAGTCTGGCCTGGACCAATGGAGGGGCAAGCGTTGAGGTCAGTGGTCAGTGCTGCTGAGTGAACAAGCTGATTTAGAAAGGGGTACATCACCATGGGAAATACTCAGAGTCTATCAGGATATTTTACTTATACACAGTTTCCAAATGTCAGAAAAGTTCAGTATTATCTGACAACTCATAGCATGAATAACAGGAAATAGATTTTACTAATCAAGCTTCACTTTTAAGTTTAGCTGAGGAAACAATCTTAGATATAGAGAAAACTGGACAGTACGCTGGGCACAAGCAGACACTGATTTCTGACCAAAGCTCCTCCAGTGTGACGCCAAGTAGGGTCTGAACTGGGAGATCCAGCACTCCAGCTGGGCGGTGCTCCGTTTCCAGCCCGTGCACGAGGCTAGTTGACGCGACAAGCCCGGATCATGAGCAGCTGCAGGAGAATGAAGACCGGAGACGTGATCAGGCCGAACCAGAGCTCTCGAGTTTGCTCCACTAGCTTCTGGCACAGCAGCATCTCAAAGACAAACTTGAGGCTAAGGACTGTGAGAACCCAGAAGAGGCGCAGTACAGCCAGCCGCTTCTCCCCGTCTTGGAAGAGGCGTACCGACACGATAGTGGTGAAGTAGGTGCTGAGCCCGTCGGCGGCGAAAAAGGGCACAAATACGTTCCACCAGGAGAGGCTCGGGGCCAAGCCGTCCACTCGCAGTGCCAAAAGCACGGAGAACACCAACAGAGCCAGGAGGTGCACAAAGATCTCAAAGGTGGCGAAGCCCAGCCATTGTACCAGCTCCCGCAGCGAGAATAACATCGCGCCTATTTAATACCGGCCGCAGTCCGGCCGACGGCGCCCCACACCGGGCCGTGCCCGCTTCGTCCGCGGGCCTGGCTACCGCCTGCTGCCGCCTCTGCACACACGAGGCAGCAAGCGGCCGAGCCCGGCCTGGACCCCGGCTCCGGCGCTCCCCGCTTCTCCAGACCCCTAATCTGGACCCGGAAAGGGATGCTAGCGAACGCCGCCCCCGGTCCAGACGCTATCCCCGCCCACCCACACCCCACCCACCTCGCGGTGGCTCAGCCTAAGGGCGTCATTTCCTGTTGACAACGGAAGGGGGAAGTGAGTGGGGTGTACGGTTCTGGCCCGTGTGTGTGGTAATGCAGGTTCCGCAGCTACTTGTGCTTTTCGGCAGTCAGACTGGCACAGCCCAGGATGAGGCGGAGAGACTGGGCCGCGAGGCCCGGCGCCGGCGGCTAGGTTGCCGCGTGCAGGCGCTGGACTCGTATGCGGTGGTGAGGCTCGGGTGATTCGGCAGAGACCCTCCACCGGACCCCGCGTCCTCGAAAGGAGGGCGTTTGAGTGCGGCCCTTCGGCCCTAGGCGGATTTAGGGGAAAGGGAGGCTTGGCACGAGGCTGAGACCTGAGAAGGAGAAGGCCTGGTGGCCACTGGGAATAATTCTCCAAGCACTTGACTCTGTTACCCTAGATGAATGGGCGCGGGTGGAGGGCGGTGCAGGGAGGATACTGATGAGGGCTGTCAGAGACCTTACACGTACCCGTGTCTTGTCCTTGAGGCGGATCTCATTAGGGAGCCCCTGGTGATATTTGTTTGTGCGACCACAGGCCAAGGAGACCCTCCTGACAACATGAAGGTAAGGCTGGCCTCATGTGTGCCCTCACCCCGTTTTCATTGCTGTGAGAGTCCCCAAGGTACATAGGAAACAGTCGCCCTTTAGTGCTTGATGTATATGAGAGGTAGCTTTGAGAGGTAGTCTTTGAACGGGTCTGGGGAGAGAAATAGCTCTTAATAGCCACTTGATAGCCTTGATCTCTATTTTTAGCCATTTTGTTTGTTTTCCCAGGCCCACTAGGAGGGTCTTGGCATAAGAATCACAAAGCCCCTACCTCCTCCAGGACTGCCATCTAGCATGGTCAGACAGGAGGGGTTCCCCTTTCCCAAAGGTCAAGCGATAGTCTTGAGAAGAGTAGCAGCCATCAAGGGTGAATTGAAGTAGAATCAAAACCAGTCTGGAGAGCAGTCCCTAGGCCAGGGGTGATTATTAAGAAGAGCAGTATATGTAGGACAGAGACTAATCTCAAGCACTAGAGATGCTGAAGTAGAAGGGTCAGGAGTTCAAGGCTGCCCACACCTACATGACAAGTGTCTCAAAAGTTCAAAAAAGTAGGGCCGGAGAGATGGCTCAGAGGTTAAGAGCACTGGCTGCTCTTTTAGAGGTCCCGAGTTCAATTCCCAGCACCCACATGATGGCCCTCAGCCATCTGTAATAAGATCTGAAGCTTTCTTATGGCATGTGCGTATATAATAAATAAATAAACTTAAAAAAAAAAAGTTCAAAAAGTATCAGCCACATATGCCGGCATTCAGAGTAATCTCAGCATTCCAGAGGTTGAAGCTAAACGACCTAGCCTTGCACTGGCCTCAAGCAAAACCACTCCTTAAAAAATAAAGAAATTAATTTTATAAAAAAAAACAGGCCGGGCGATGGTGGCGCACGCCTTTAATCCCAGCACTTGGGAGGCAGAGGCAGGCGGATTTCTGTGAGTTCGAGACCAGCCTGGCCTACAGAGCTAGTTCCAGGACAGGCTCCAAAGCCACAGAGAAACCCTGTCTCGAAAAACCAAAAAAACAAACAAAAAAAAAAAAAAAAAAAGCTAAGAAAGTGCCAAGGAGATGAGGGAACTGAGATCTCCCTCAGGTTTGAGGTGTTGTGGTCTATGGACAGATAAGGTGCCCAGCATCCCCCACATAAGGGCAGGAATCAATGGTGTCTGACTCAGTCACAGCAGCAACTGGAGACCTTTGAAGACCCAGAGCCCAAAACCACATGCAGGGGCACGGGTCCTCAGTGACTGCTGAACACAATGGCCTTGGCCTCTCTTCCTTGATCTTCTTTAAAACACATCGTAATTATAGGAAAAGACCCAGTGACTGTGTCTCTGCCTGTCCCCTGCTGGTGAAACTCTCAGTGGGGTGGGCCTGTCCTGAGGCTTTTCCAGCAGCTTCCAAGTACAAATAGGTCACATTCACACAGAGAGGAAAGGAAGGAATGGTCGCTGGAATGAGATGTGAGTGATGACAGGCACATAATGGAAGGGTGAGACAGCAGCCACGCTTAGGAAGGGGCCTGCTGAGAACAGAGGGGCACTCCCAGAGTGGGCTAGACTACCTGATGACCAACAGGACAGAGGACAACAATAGGTGGCACTGGTGGCTCAGAAGCGGCCACTAAACTGGAAAGGTGAATATAAACCCAGAGTTTGAGGGTATGAATCAGTGGGTTGACACCTTCAGAGGGTCAGGCCACGTCTCATCTCCCTTTTACACCCAGAAGACTTCAGTCAGAACTGCAGACCCATCCCTTCAGCAGTGGACTGGCTGGCCCACCACTACAGTAGAAGGGGAAGTGAGTTCACCCCTTAGGTGGGAATAGGAAGAGTAGTTTTATTGAGAATACTGTAAGAGGACACCAGGCCGACCTAGTAACTAGATTACCATGGGGCATGGAGCTACAGGTGACCATTTTTGAGAAATACTTACACGGTGAGGATAAGTTTTCTTTACGTGCAGGTTCCTGGTCTGTAATTGGCATGTTGCTAAGGAGAGATTGGCCAGTGTACACTTCTGGACTCTAATGGTCTTCCTTCCGCACCATCCTCTCCCTGCTGGGGCCTCAGACAGACAGACAGACAGACAGAAAACCGGCCTAAGGTAGGGTCCTAACATGGTTTCCTGTGGCTACAGAACTTTTGGAGGTTCATTTTCCGGAAGAGCCTGCTGTCCACCTCTCTCTGTCAGATGGACTTCGCTGTCCTAGGCCTCGGGGACTCCTCATATGCCAAGTGAGTAGGGGTGGACATGCTGGCCAGATAGGGATAGTTCTCAAGATCATGCAAGAAATGAGACAGGCAACTGAGCCCCAGGTGCCTATCCACGGTAGATCATGTGTCCCTGCACTGTGTTAGCTGACCAACCTTATCCACATATTCTGTAATCCTTGAAGGACTTGGCACAGGGGAGACCACAGTTGGGGTAGGAAAAGGGTGGCAGAGTACCACCATGGAGTCGCGGGTACAGGGAGGCTCAGACCAGCCAGCATTCCGTTCCAACACACGATGACGTTCAACCACACCTGATCTGCCCCTGTTCCACACGGGTTCAAAACACACTGAAGTATCGACAATTTGAAAAGAGCACCGAGGGGGACGGCTTACCTTCAAGTGGCTTGTTAGGCAGGAAGGCGGCTCATGGGTTTCTCTTCTAGGCATGTTGTGGACAGCTGTGTCCGTTAACCAGCAGTGCTGTTCGCATCGTTCATTCTGTGGGGTGGTGATGAGGGATTTCTCCTCAGAGGTGCACCTAGATATCTAAAAGCTAGGACAGCAGCACTTTGAACACTTTCTGCATTCACAGGGCCTAGTATCATCCAGCATTGAGGGCAACTCAATCACCATAAACTGTTCTGTACATGACAGGGTTCTTAATTTAGATTTAAGTCAGGTGGTGGTGGCGCAGGCCTTTAATCCCAGCACTTGGGAGGCAGAGGCAGGCTGGTCTCTGAGATTAAAAGAACAGAAATGGAAGCTGGGCATAATGGCTCACTCACCTGGAATCCCAGCACTCAGGCTGAGAGGATTGCCACAATCTCTAGGCCAGCCTGGGCTACAATGTGGAACCCAATCTCACTAAACCAAAAATTAGAAAATAGGAAGATGGGTGGCAACATGGCCTTGCTCTGCTAGAGATTGTGCTCACTTGCAGTGTATGGATGCACAGACCACGTGGGAGGAGACTGTGCTCACTTGGAGTGTGTGGATGCACAGACCACGTGGGAGGGAGTCCAGCTGTGGATGTGGTCCCCAAATGGACAAGCTGGTGCAGGGACCAGTGTGCACTTTACAGACCAAAGGAAATCCTATTACAGGAAAACATGGTTAACTGCCCCTCCCGCGATCTCCAGTGGTAACTGGAGCCCTGACCAATGGGAGTACAGGGCCTTAGTCACTTCAGAAAAGGGTTGATAAGATGAGACTGTCCTCCACATGGCACCTTCTTGAGATCAGGGACCTAGCATTTGCTGTCCTTGTTGCTCCAACCTCATCCCCTGTATACTGAAGCCCCCTCCCTCCTAGGATGAGGCCAGTGTGCACTGCTGAGGGAGTAACGCTTGAGGGAAGCCTGCACTATTTACTCTGCCCAGGAGGTCAGCTGAACTACCTCCCTCACTGTTGGTTATCCCCGTCCGCCTTGCTGTCTCCACAGGTTCAACTTTGTGGCCAAGAAGCTCCATCGTAGGCTGCTGCAGCTAGGAGCCAGTGCCCTCCTGCCCCCATGTCTGGGTGATGACCAGCATGAGCTGGGGTAAGTGGTGGTTGCAGTGGCCTTCTTTGGCCGCTCCATCTTGGCTCTGGCCAGCAGAGGCCAATGCCTGTGCTTTCTCCTAGGCCCGATGCTGCCATTGACCCCTGGCTGGGAGACCTTTGGAAGAAGATAATGGGACTGTACCCAGTGCCTCTTGACTTTCCTGAGATCCCTCTTGGAGTCCCGTGAGTCTGAACCTTGGGGAGTGAGTGCCAAGGGACTTTGAGCTGGTTAGCAAAAAAAAAATCCTCAAGGTATGGTTGAGTGGTCCTGCACACCTGATATTTCTTTCCACTTTCCCCCACAGCTTGCCCTCCAAGTTCATCTTCCAGTTTGTCCAGGAGGTTCCCAGCGTAGGGACTGAGGGGCTAAAGCTAGCTAGCTCAGACCCTCAGAGACCCCCATCAGAGTTACAGCCCTTTCTGGCACCTGTGATAACCAACCAGAGGGTCACTGGCCCCCACCATTTCCAGGATGTTCGGCTGATTGAGTTTGACATTACAGACTCAAGTATCAGGTGAGGGGCAAAAGCCCTCAGGCAGTTTGGCAGGGTGCCCATGTAATGTTGGGAAGCTGATGTGGTCAGGGAAAGGCAGTGGGTAGAGATTCAGAAGGGTCAAACAAAGCCACGGGCTAGGTGGCCCAGTGGCTCGAAAATCTCTACATGACATTCCCTTTCTTCCTCTTCAGTCTCCTTAGTCCCTCCATCCTCCCCCACATCCTCCCCTACTTCCTCCCCTTCCCCTCAGCCCCTTGGTCCTTCCCACATCATCCCCGCATATCTGGTGGCTTTTCCATGTAGTTATGCTGCTGGCGATGTCGTATCAATTATGCCCTCTAACTCGGAGACCCACACCCAGCAGTTCTGCCGGTTGCTGGGCTTGGACCCCAAGCAGTTTTTCCTGCTTACGCCACGGGAACCAGGTGAGTATGGCAGATGCACCACCTCTTGAGGCCAAGGCACTACCTGATGTCCCTGCCCACCAAGTCTCCATGCCATTCCTGCAGGCGTCCCTCACCCACCAGGGCTGCCTCAGCCCTGCACAGTGTTGCATCTTGTCTCACGGTATTTGGACATCGCCAGCGTGCCCCGCCGTTCCTTCTTTGAGCTCTTGGCTTGTCTTTCTCCACATGGGCTGGAGCGGGAGAAGCTGCTAGAATTCAGCTCTGCCAGAGGTCAGGAAGAGCTCTGGGAGTACTGTAATCGGCCCCGCAGGACCATCTTGGAGGTGGGCTTGTGGGCAGTGGTGGGTATGGGCTCTCAGCCCTGGCATGCCACCGCCATTCTAAACCTTCCTCTGTCCAGGTGCTGTGTGACTTTCCACACACGGCAGCTGCCATTCCTCCAGACTACCTTTTGGACCTTATCCCTCGGATCCGCCCACGGGCCTTCTCCATTGCCTCTTCCCTGCTGGTGAGGGACTCAGTGGACTGGCCGTGGGAAAGCTGGGACGGGGCAGGGTGTTTGTAGATGGGTGTTTGCCTTCTGAACAGGGACAGTTTCTCTACCAGAGCCTGCCCCTGGTGGGGTTGGTAGCAGACAGGAATGGTTTAGCAGGGCAGGGTCTTCCCTATGCCCCCTAGGCTCATCCCGGGAGGCTACAGATCCTTGTGGCTGTCGTACAGTACCAGACTCGCCTCAAGGAACCCCGCCGTGGCCTCTGCTCCTCCTGGCTAGCATCCCTGAATCCTGAGCAAGGTGATCTCTATTTCTGGGGGTGGGAGAGACCGCAGCCTCAAGCTCCTACCTTCCCTGTACCTCCTGCTACAGGGGCTCAAGCCCCACCACTGAGCACCTCAACCTTTTGTTTTGACCTCCTTCATGCCTTCTCCCTCCTGCAACAGGACCTGTCCAGGTGCCTCTGTGGGTGCGGCCTGGGAGCCTCGTGTTCCCAGAGACACCAGACACACCCATTATCATGGTAGGGCCTGGAACTGGTGTGGCGCCCTTTCGAGCAGCCATTCAAGAGCGAGTGGCCCACAGCCAAACTGGTGAGTATAGGAGTCCCAGGGCAGTGTGACCACTGAGACGGGTCTGGCTGAGTCCCTGTATCCAGACAGGGGGGCCACCCTATGTACCCCAGGAAACTTCTTGTTCTTTGGCTGCCGCAAACGGGACCAGGACTTCTACTGGCAGACTGAGTGGCAAGAGCTAGAGAAGAAAGGCTGCCTGACCCTGGTTACGGCCTTCTCCCGGGAGCAGGTGAGTATACTCAAGTTAGGTGGGGCAGGAGTGGGGATGGCTGGGACTCAGCCTGTGACACCTGCAGGAGCAAAAGGTGTACGTGCAGCATCGGCTCCGAGAGCTGGGGCCCCTTGTCTGGGAGCTGCTGGATCGCCACGGTGCCCACTTCTACCTAGCAGGGTGAGCCAACTTGGGGGTGTAGAGGAACGGACCAGCCTTCAGAGGTGGGGAGTGGGGGTTGGGGCCACAGGATCACTGAGCTTTCTGAGCCTACCCCTCCAGCAATGCTAAGTATATGCCTGCGGACGTTGCGGAAGCCCTGACATCCATTTTTCAAGAAGAAGGACAACTCTCCAGCGCAGATGCGGCTGCCTACCTTGCCAGGCTCCAGCAGACACTGCGTTTCCAGACTGAGACCTGGGCCTGAGGAGCCACTTGCTAGCTCACCTCCACACCAACAGCTCCACTGGAGAGCCTCCTGGAGTCTAGAGGGCCCATTATCACCTCCTGTCCTCTGATCCCAGAACACTTGTGAGACCATGGTGTAGCTTCTTGACTCCAGCTGACTAGCAGGGCACTCCCTGAATCCAGCCAAATTCGGTGGAACCCCGTGTCCCATCCACACTTCCCCCAACCCCAGTGCAATGTACACTCCTGGTTTCCTCTCTGTCCCCATCACTGTGCCCCAGATCTGCATTATGGTCCATACCACAGGGGCTGCTAAGGCCTCCAGGAGGCAGGGAGTCCTGTGAGGGCTGCACTGCCCCTCTGCCCTGGTGCTATTTCCATTCACCCACAGCACCTGTGGGACTCGGGCTCAGGTGAGAGGCCCCAGGGGCTGATTCTCTTGAGCACTGAGAATGAGCAAGTCAGTCTGTCTCAGGCCCTTAACACCTTGAGTAAACTGCCTGGGTAGCTACTCACCTCTGTGTTTTTGTGTCTCCTAGATTTGGGGGTGGTGGGTGGGATTGGATTATCTGCATTTGCTAATGGTAGCCAAAGACTCTTTCAGTGTGAGGCTGCGTGCATGTATGTCCTTGTCAGGTACCTATGCTAGGATCACACTGCACTCGGATGTCTGATGTCTAAGTTCCTGTTGGTCTCCCCTTTGTACTTAGAAGGCAGGTCTTGGCTCTGTCTGATCTTAAACCTTAACAGTTCAGCTAAGTTCATGCCCTTCTTTGATGGCCAGGGAGTTATTGGAAAGTCCCAGCCCAGTGCTGGAACACACTATCTAGAAGAATGAGCAGGTGGAAGGGGTGTGATAGGAGTTGGCCCGCCCATGGGCAGGGCCTCTACCCCTGGAAAGAGAAACCCTGTTGGAGGAGTCAGACAGGTCCGAGGGCAGCTGGGAGCTAAGGAACCTCTGTTTTGTCCGACAACTGCTGGAACAGAGACCAGCCTGGCCAACACCACTCTTAAGCCTGAAATACCAGGAGCTGACGACGCTGCGGGGACCCAAGTGAAGTTTACTTCCGGTAGGGTCAGCAAGCCCAAAGGTGTATCTGGAGGTCAGTGCCCTGGTAATTGAGACCAAGCTCTGTCTGGCTCCTGAGGGCCACACTAACCTTTACATCTCCAACAATCCCTGCTGTCACCCTGGAGTCCCAATCTTCCCATCCTGCTTTCTGTTCTGGTGGTTCTACCCTGGGGCCTAATGACACCAGCTCTACACCCGCCAGTTCACCTTGTACTCCTTTGAGTCCTGAGCTCCTGGACCCACTGCACCAGCTACCAGCAGATGAAGAGGATAATCTCGGCTCCCCCCAGGATGCCAGGGCTCCAGACAGTAAGCCTGAACTGGAGGCCCTGTCAACTGTGGAGGAGCAGGAAGAGTGTGAGGGACAGGTAGAGGAGGAATGCCCCATCTGCACTGAGCCTTACGGGTCTGATGAGCAGCACCAGGCCTTGCTGAACTGTGGTCACAGCCTGTGTGTGGGCTGCCTGCACCAGCTGTTAGGCATAACCCCCAGAGCTGACCTGGGCCGTGTGTGCTGCCCACTGTGTCGTCAGAAGACACCCATGCTAGAGTGGGAGATCTGTCAGCTGCAGGAGGAACTGCTTCAAGCTGATGGACCCCAGCGCCCGGTGCCCATTGCATCCACCACACCCCTACGCCCTGGCCCTGGGCCCTGGGGATCCTTGGAGCACCGCTACCGCCTGCGTTTTCTGGCTGGGCCCGTGGGAGGCCGGAGCTGCCTCCCCTTCCTTCCCTGCCCTCCCAGCCTAAGTACCTGGCTGTGGACACTGCGGGAACGTGGCCCCTGTGCCCGTCGCCTATCACTGCTGAGCCTGATGGCATTAGAACTGCTGGGGCTGGTGCTCATCTTCATGCCGCTCATGTTGCTAGGAGTGTTCTTCATGCTCCTAGACCGCTCCAGCCACTGAGCAGAGCCCAGGGTGTTGGCCAAGCTTTGAAGCCCATGTTTGGATTCTTGTCATTAGCAAAGACTTGCTATCACAATCCCAAGACCAGGCCTGCTCAAGAGCCTAGGTCAGCCAGAGTGCTTACACACCCCTGCAGCCCAGATACTGGCTAAAGCCAAGGACACTAAGCCAAGGACAGCCTCTGAAGGAGATTGGCCTAACAGGAAGGGCTGTGACCAGAGCCCCATGTGCTTATGGACAAACACTTGACTGGCCAGAGGCAATGGCTGGATCCTAACACCGACTCCTGAGGTCCAGCTGGTGAGGGTGGGCGCAAACGTGAATAGAGGTCCAGCAGAATTCTGTTGCTAGGAGAAGGCAAGGGCTGCAGGGACCCTCTGCCCTGTCCACACAGGTTGGTGTGTGCCCCTGAAGGCCACAGTAGCTAGCAGGAGGGGCCAGCACTGCACAAACCCATCCTTCAAAAGCTCCTCACCCAACCTAAGATGCCCTCACCAGACAGGGTATCCCAGAGCAGCTGGGATCAATACTGGTTTTGTACTGCAAGGGCCAAGGTTCAATCCAGACCCCCAGCAAATGCCCAAGGTCCAGCTCTGTTTGTAATTGACTATACAATTCATGTCACTGGACTAGGAGCCCTCATTTCAGCAATGAAGACAAATGTAAGCCCACCTCCTGGCTTATTGGTGACACAGTGTAAGGTGGGCTGTCTCTGTCTATACCCAGCCTAAGAGTGGCTCTCAATAAACAGCTGCTGATAGGCTGGAGAGATGGCTCAGCGGTTAAGAGCATTGTCTGCTCTTCCAAAGGTACTGAGTTCAATTCCCAGCAACCTCATGGTGGCTCACAACCATCTATAATGAGGTCTGGTGCCCTCTTCTGGCCTTCAGGCATACATGCAGAAAGAATATTGTATACACAATAAATAAATATTAAATAAAAATAAATAAGCAGCTGCTATTGATACCATTGTACCACAGCTATCCTCATTATTCCATCTCTGCCATCCAGGCAGCTCTCATACTCTTCAGAGGTACCTAATCCAGTCACAGGCAGACAGAGATTAGCTCATGCTGTCCAAAGGCCATTTCTACATATCCTTGGCCAGAGGCGTAGGAGAGACCCAGCCAATCACCTTACTTGTAGGGCAGGGTCCCCCGAGGATATTTTTTACTTATAAAGATTGCAGGTGTGCTCCCGGCTGCCCCTTCTGCTTTCCTGTTCTCCGCTGGAACCTCTGGTTCTGTAAGTCTATTTCCCAATTAAAGCTATATATATTTATTACAATTTCTATCTGCATTCATTTACGCCGATACACAGAGGAAAGGTACTTTTTGGAGGGTGGGGTGGATATCTCACTGTGAAACCAATGCCGACCTCAATCCTGCCCTGGCTTCCAGAGTGCTGGATTACCAGTGAGCATCCACACACAGCTGAAGGTTCTGCCTGCCTAGCTGGGCCACAGCCCCACATGCCACACTCTAGCAGACCTCTGCACCAATAGGTCCCAGGCCTCCCGAGCAGCAGACTTGGCCCAGCTTGGCCTTCAACAAGTAGAGCAGGCCAACCCTGAATGAAGATGGGTCGCCTTCTGGCAGTTCCTAATTAGACTGGGCTATGGCCCTGGGAACCTACTCAAGGCCCAGGCCCGGGCCTAGCCCACAGGAGTAAGCTTCAATCAGTGAACCAGTGCAAACTTTGGCAAAGAGTTTTAATGGCAAAGTTGGCTGCAGCGACAATGCCACGCAGGGTAGGGCCAGAAGCCACAGTGGGCAAGAAAGGGTCAGCGGGAAACAGGACAGGGCCAGTTCCCTGAAGAAGCGGCGAGCAAGGGCCTGCAGGCAGTCGTGGGCAGGTGGACACTACATGATGGAACAGGCTGATAGTGGGTTCCGCACATGGCAGGTGCATGCAGCCCCACAGTACTGCCGGAAGGTCTGGTAGCAGCTGCCTTCGGATTCACCCCCCCACTGGCCACCGGATGGGGCCGTCAGGGCTTCAGGTGGCAAGCGGCTCAGGATGGATGTATTGACAGCCAGTGCGGCCAGGCCATAGTCAGTGAAGAGCACAGTCTCACGGTGGCAGGTGGGACACGAGATAAACTTGTACTTAGGGCAAGACTCGTAAAGAATCTGCAGGCACTGCTCACACACAGAGTGCAGGCAAGACAGCACGCGGGGCCGCCGCTGAGTGACGTTGTATGTGTGCCCACAGGTGGGGCATTCCAGGGGCTCACCTGCTATCACTGGCCCGGATGATGAAGGTGCAGAGGCTGTTGGGCCAGGTCGAATCACATATTGATTTACAATGACCTCATCCACTGGTGCCACCCGGGGGAAGCCCAATTCAGAACTGCCCTTGCGGGGCCGCCTTGGCAAGGGTGGAGTGTGGGGTGCTCCTTCCAAGGTAGGCATGTCCCCCCCACATGCCTGGTTGACAATGATCTCTGTGTCTGAGGGCCAAGCACGCTTGGGTGCCAGAGTGGGAGTGGGCCTGGGTGCAGGTGGGAAGCAGGGGGTGGTCGCCGGGAGCTCAGGGAACTTTTCAGGGTGGACAATCTTCATGGCCTCCATTTTGAGGATGACATGGGGGCCTTTCAGGCAGGACATGAGGAGGCCCGGCCATCCACTGCCCACCTCGGGCCCAGGGTCAGCTGGCATCCGGCTCTCTACAGTCAGACCGGACGTTGGCACAGGTGGGGGCGTTGGGTGGGGCCGTGGGGGAAGAGAAGGGGCTGCATCCTGGTCCTGCCAGGCCTGGTGAGGCCCCCGGTTACTCCGTGGACTGCAAGGGGCAGCGGGTGACAGGTTGGGGGGCAGGGCCCCCCCCAGTGGCCACAATGGCTTATCTGGTTCAGTCCGAAGAGGAGGAGGAAGAGGAGGGGGAGGGGGAAGCAGGCGGGGGCAAGGGGGTACAGGAGGCTGTCTTGGGCTGTGGGGTTCACGCAGGGGCTCACCCAGGGTCTCTGTCTGCTGAGGCTGGCAAGGGGGCGTGGAGGGGCCTCCTCCTGCAGCAGAGGTCAGCAGTCCCTGGGCCGGGACATCTGGGCAGGCAGGGGCTAGGTGGGCCCCATGGCTCCAGGACAGGGCGCCCAGGGAAGGCAGCTAGCCTGATCCCTGGCTGCCGGAGGACCTGGGCTGCAGGCTCCGCGGCAACAGCAATGGAGAGGCCTGCACCAGGCCCGAGCTGCGGGTGAGAGACAGCGTGAGGGCAGCAAGGGGCCAACCTCACTTTCGCCCTCACCCCCACCCTGCACAAAGGACAGGGTGCCCGACCTCTGACCCTGACCTTATCCGTGGGATCCAAGTCTTCACGGAATTCTGAACCCAACCCCCTCCCCAGTATGCCCTCCGAGGCCAGATTCACTGTCCGGAGGACTGACCCTATAAGAGAAGGAAGGAATGATGCATCTGACCCCCGCCCCTCCCCCCGCTCACCTGCCCCAGCCTGGCGTTCCCCGGCTGCGCCGCCGCAGCAGCAGAGGTTGTCTCAAAGGCAGGCCTGGATGCGGCGCTCGCACCTTGGCTCTCTGGCTCTAGCGGCTCCGATAGCTCCCGCGGCTCCAGCAGCGACTTCGGGCGATGGCGGGCGAAGGCGGCACCCAGGGGCGCGAGCGCTGGTGCTGGACGCAAGGCTCGGCGCGGCGGCGGCGACAGCGGCGACGACGGCAGCGGCAGGTGCGTGCGGAGCGTGGCGCGTTCTGCGGCGGAGGCGCGGGGACCGCAGTGCGCGCGGCGCCCGCCCGCGCCCGCAGCGCCACCCCCCGTCTGGGGACCCGCGCGGGGTCCACGGGGCGGGGCCAGTCTCCTAGCCGCCCCTCGATCCACTCCTGGCCTGGCGTCTGCTCCCAGGGTCAACCTCCCAGCTAGCTACAGGCGGGTCGGGATCCCCGTGTCGCCAACATTCCCTTTTTTCCCCCTTGGCTGCCCCTCCGCCTTTTGTAAGGGAAACCTTTGCTTTTTAGTTCCTTACATTTTGAGCCTCACAATGCCCGAGCAGGGGTCCCAGCGTTCCACCAGTGTCTCGTCTACCTTTCGAGCTTTGAAGGGGCAGGGTCCTTTCACGCCAAACCCCGACACACCCCTTGTGTGAACGCCGGGAGTTTTCCAACTCACTGACGTATCCACACTGCACCCAGGGCTCATCAACTCAAAGACAGCGATATGACAGCAGAAGGGATAAGAGGTTAAACGGATACCAGAGGAGTGGGCAGAGGGGAGCTGGGGCAGGCACGAAGAGGATCGGCGGGTGTCCTGACCGGAAGTGGGGAGTTGGAAATACCTGGACAAGCTGGCAGTCCACGTGTTGGGTGGAGGGCCCACTGAACACACTCACCTGCCTAGGGTGGAGTAGCCCTTTCTTGTGTCGCATCAGGTCAGCACGCGCTTCTGTGTTGTGTACTAAACTGACCCCACCCATCAGAGGCCCCATTCCTTTCCTCTTCCTCCTCCTACCTGGTCCTCTTCTACCTGGACTACACCTTTGCCTCAGGGGAGCCCTCCGTAAGGAAAGGGCAAAGGACACGCTGGTGACCAGGATGTCTACGTGTTCAGAGTGCCATTGTCTACCATCTCATGGCCACCAGGCATACCCATACCTGCCCGTGACCAACACTGAGTCCTGTGCCTGACCCTGGACAACCCAGATTTTGTTCAGGCCACAGACCCTCTCTGTACAATCAAGACGAAGAGAACAATGTTCCTGGTGAGCCAAAGCTGGGCCAGACTTTACAGCTCTATGGAACCAAGGGTGCACATCAGGGCTCCTTCAGCAAGGCCAGGTGAGAGGAGGGGTCAGGTGCGGGGGTATGGAGGGGAGGCGTCTCATGGGAATCCTGGCATCACGCTGGGGTAACTCAGGTAGCGGTGGCTAGAGAAAGGAATGAGCTCTTTCCAGCCACCCTTCCCAGGAGGGCTCTGCTCACTAGCCCACCCACTTGGCCCTCGTGCAAGGCCACCTATGGCCCCACCCTTTGTCCAGAGTCCCGCCCCGTGAAATGAAGCCACGCCCCATAAGAGAATAAGCCCATCCCTCCTCTCTCCCCTCCTAGCCGCCGTTCTGAGCGGAGCAAGCCAAGGATCCATCCAAACCGGGTCTTTTGGGAAACCCTGGAGCGCGAAGGCTTCTGGGGAATTAAGTTTCCACTGGGCACCTCGACCGGGTTTACGCATGCTCGCGGCTAGGGGCGGAGTCTCCGGGGGCGGTGGGCAAGGTTAAAGGTTCCCACGTTGAGAGCGCTGCTTTCTACCTCTTAAGCTTGTTTCCCCCCAGACCCATTTCCTTCTACTTGCTAAGTTGCTCAACCCACCTGACTGGCTCTGCACTCACTTACCCTGGCTTGTAGTCCGTGTCCTACTCGCTCTCTCCTTCCTGGTGTTTTCCCGAATGGGGTCCGAGCCCTTCCCGCTACAGCTGTAGCGTAGACCCAGAGTTGCCCACCGGTTGGCTCACAAGCTTTCCACTATTGTTTCACCCCCAGCCCCACCGTCTTTTTTTCGTGTCCTCTATGGCCAAGGAGGTAAATCTGCAAAAGTAGAAGGGTACCAGGGCCAAGCATGGGTGCGGGGGGGACAGAAAACTCTGGGGAGCTTTCTCCCCAACTCACCAGCACAGGGAAACTGCAATTTCAGAAACGAGCTGAAATGTTGCTTGTGTCCATGTCACCAATTTAAGATAAGTAAAGTATCTACAAAGTTGTGTCAAACTTTTTTTTTATTAGAAAAGTGGACAATCCTCCAAGCCGTCTCAAGGCATCCCAGTGACTACTGGGTATGGGCAGTAGGTGACAAGCAGGAATTCTGGACAGTGGCTGTAGAAATGTGAGCAATGGCTGGGTGGCCCCAGAATCTGAAGACCTGCCCCCACTTCCTCTCTGGGGCCATGACCCAAGGAGGTAGGACATGCTCAGATGAATGGTGATTGAGTCACCCTGGATTGGCAAATGCCCCTTAGAGCCCAAACCTTGGCCTCCACCCATCTGGGAATGAGGGGTGACTGGCTGCTGTGCTCTAGTTGCTAAGGCCTCCTGGGATCCTGGGAACCCCATCTTTGAGCTCCGCCCCAAAGCCCCACCCCTCTCTAGGAGGGAAAAGGCACCTGCTGGTAGCTCTACTCACAGGCACTGGGACCAGGAGCTGGAGAACAGAAAGACAGACTGCTGCTGCTTGCTGCAGGTGAGTCCTCGCCCAGGAGCTGACCTGTACTTAGAGGTACCCCCTGGACAGACACTGCTCTCCCTTAGACCAGCTCACCAGCATCTCCTAGCTTTTTATCCCCATTCCCAGCTGCATCCAGGAGCATCTGTTGGACACTGGTGGAGGGTGGCAACTGGGTACTTGGGCCTACCTCCAAAGTCACGTAGGCCTTGCATAGATCCTGATGTGCCCACATCTGCATGCAGATGCTAATTGATAAGGCTCGTCACAAGGCAGATTCTTCCGGAATGGGTGTCTTCTTGGGCTATAGGCGCTCAAGCAGGTTTTCTCCTCCCTAAGTCCATGTGTGTGTCTCTGCTCACCCCTGCAGCCTGGGCCATGGACCCCCATGAGATGGTTGTGAAGAATCCATACACCCACATCAGCATCCCTCGGGCTCACCTGCGGTCTGACCTGGGGCAGCAGTTAGAGGAGGTTCCTTCTTCATCTTCCTCCGCTGAGATTCAACCTCTACCCTCAGGAACCTGTGCCCCAGAGCCAGCGGGCCTCTCGAAAACGACTGAAGCCCCAGAGCCAAAGGGTGTCAAGGGCATCAAAGGTACAACTCCTGAGCAGAGCCAACAGACCTACAACCACCGCAACCCCTACAACAGCGGTGGGCAGCGTCCCTCAGGACTGACGTATGCTGGTCTGCCGCCTGTGGGGCGTGGCGATGACATTGCCCACCACTGCTGCTGCCTGCCTTGCTGCTCTTGCTGCCACTGCCCACGATTCTGCCGTTGTCACAGCTGTTGCTGTGTTGTCTCCTAGCCTGACTATCCAACCTCCAGGGCTGGGGGGCCCGGGCCTCTGCTCAGTGCCAAAGTGGTGCTGGACATCAGGAGCAGCCATTGTCATGGGCATCTGGGGAGCGGTCCACCAGGAAGGCCCAGCAAGTGCCCTCTGGGATACGGTCCCAGCCACTAGCCATGTTGGCAGCAATAGGAACACCCTTCACTTCTTGCAAGACTTTGGCAATAAAGCAGGGTGAGCATTGTGCTAGTGACTTTTTTTTTTTTAAAGCCAGGGGTCTGTTTGGGAGAGGGTGCCCTCAACATGCACAAATACAATCTCCCTGGTAGATTCCCAGACTCTATGGGACCTTCCAGAACTGGATGCCTCATGACATCCATAATTTAGGGCCCTAGCAGGTCTCAGTCCACCCAGGGGCTCGTAGATGGTAATATGTCTACTGCCCTGGGCCAGTTCCTCGTTCTCCTTAGGGCTAAAGCTGAGATAGTAAACAAGATTAATCCTGAGTCACAAGGTAGGAGGGTACCATACTTGCCACTGTGGGGGACCCCAAGAAAATACTCTGGGGGAGGATCAGATTGGAGGGCTGTTAGTGGGTGGGGCTGACGTTAGCAGGTTTCAGGGAGTGGGAGCTCGGATCCAGGGCCCAGAACCCAGCCCTGCCCAATGTGAGTCACCTCCCGCCCTTGGCCAGGGCATGTTTCTGGTTTCCCACAAAAGACAATCCCTACTATCCAGGCTTTGCTGTTTAACCTATTTCAAGTGATGTGTACCAGGCCTTGAAGATGAGGCATGGCAGGGCTGAAGGGAGTGTTCTCCTCTTACCTGTCCAAGCAGTGTGAGATGCCTGCTGGGGGCCATGTTTGAGATGCCAGGGTAGGGAGTGTGCAAGGAGGCCAGCTCTGGGCAGCCTGGTGTTTCCGGGGCAGGGCAGAGCCGCAATGCCACGTGAAGAGGGAGAAGAGCTGGCCTCACAGGCCTCACAAGACAAACAAGTCCTCCTGAAGTCGGCCCTTCCCTGATGCAGAGGCAGGTCATGTAAGAGGGCAGGCCAGATGTGTTGTGTGTAGAGGTCTCCAGGAATGGGCAGATAGGTCATTGCCCTGACTCCTCTCTGAGCTCCTAGTCCCCTGTTCCAGTGAGGGCCAACACAGGAACCTGTTTGACCAGTCTTAAAGGCAGATTGCCAAGCGGGTGGGTAAAAGTGAGTAAAGGAGGCTTTTTCCCCCCCTAGCAACCCTGTGTGCACTCTTAGGGGTCCTAGCAACCCTGTGTGCAGAATTAGGGGTCTCCCTAATTCTGTACTGTCTCCTCTCCAGTCCTCATCACAGGGATCCCACTTCCCTGAACTGTCTCCCTGGACTATTGTAGAGGCTGAGGGTCGGGTAGGCGGTCAACTGGGAGATGCTTAGCATGGGTGTGGGGTGGTGGGGGCTTCTGGGATGATGGTTGTGTGAGGGAGATCATCACACCTCAGGCCTGATGGGCGGGCTACTTCCGGTGACATCACAGGATAGACTTAGTCACTGAGAAGTGACCAAATTAGCAAGAAGATGCACCCTACCATGGAGCTGATGGGGGGCGGGGGTAGGTTCCCTGGGAGGTGATGTGAGCGGAGGCCAAAGTGGAAAACATTACCAAGGGGTGATCAGATGAGACCTGGGAGAAGGGTTCAAGAATGGGGAGGCCATAAACTGGAGACACCTAGAGTGGAGAAAGACAAAGCCAGGTCTCTGGGAGTTACAGGGGGGGGAGTGGTCTGGGCAGGTTCATCCTTCAGGGGGCTGGCTCACCTTATCTCCTGCCCAGTGCAGGGAGCAGGGAGCAGCAGATCCTGTTGCAGGTGCTTTGTGGCTGAAAGGGGAGCCCACTCTCACTTGACGCAGCCACCACCTGCCTCCTGCTCACTTGCCTATGTGGCCAGTAATGCGAGCCCAGGGAGGGAGCCATGAAGTGTCCCAGGTCCCCATCCCCTTCTGCAATCCTCTAGCTGGGAATATCTTTCTGGTGGAGTGGATGCAGGTAAGAGAAGCCAGGGGTTCGGAAAGACAAGGGGTGGGTCTCAACAGTGGGATAGGATGCTGTTTCAGCCAATGGCCACAGCAACAAGAGACAGGCCCAGGCTTGGTGTTAGCCCAAAGGCATCATCTTCTCTCCAGGTGTGTAGGGACTTATCGTCCCATGTCACTGTCCTCCGTTTTCTGGGGGCCAGCATGGACCAAAACATCACATAGGTGGGCAGAGGTGAACTGTAGCTTGTGCGGTTGCCCTGTTAGTTCCCTCATACTCTCCCTAGGATGCTGCAGCCTGAAGGCCCCCGAGCCTTGGAGGAAGGGGCAGCCCTGACGGCCCCACGGAATGACTGCATCGTCTGCTACTCTGCCTATGACCTCTCAATACACTTGCCTCGCCGCCTCTACTGCGGCCACACCTTCTGCCAGGCATGTATGCGGCGGCTGGACACGCCAGCCCATGAGCAGCACTGGATCCCCTGCCCACAGTGCCGTCAAAGTACCCCTATGCCCCGTGGAGGGGTGACCATGTTGGACCTGGACTTAGCTGCCTTTTTGGCAGTCAAAGCTGAACGGAAACCATCAAGAATAGAACCCAGGTCCTCGGTCCCCCTCAAAGTCGGCACTACTGTCACTCAGCAGCCGGCTGGACTCTACCCCACCTTGGGCCCCCAACCCCACTTTCCTCAGCCTGGATGCTGCTGCTGGGGCTGGGGAAGACTGTGCTGGTATCCCCTGGGGAACCCTGAGGTCTAAACTCTGGCTATCTCCACCTGCACAAAGAAAACTGCTAGCGGCTTCCCTGCCGCGGAGCCACAGACCATACACAGCGCAGACCGAACAGCGTGCGAGCAGGGCCTCCTCCTTATAGTCCTACATGACGCAACAGAGTGGTGTCACCCTGACCAGGGACATCTCAAGCCATAGCCTAAGGTCAGAATCAGTGACCATGGTTCCACAATAGGCTGGTGACATTCCATTTAACTAGTCTATAGGGGATTTCCATACCCCAAACTAGCCTGCGACTTTGTTTGGCTAGCCAACATTCTGCTGTCTTTGTCACCTGTAAACCCAGGACCTAGCACGGAAAATGGCTCCTAAGAGTCTATGGGGATGAGTGCAGGGTCTGGACTGGGCCAGGCTATGGTTGTCCATGAGTGGCTGGCCTCAGAGCAGGCCTTCCTCTCTGTAAACATTCAGTGGTATGAGCCAGGAGGGAGGGCAGGTTACCTCTTCTATTCCTGGAGTCTATGTGTTTTATCTCTTCAACTGTGGTCACCAGGCTCCTGCCATGAGCCAGGTTCTTGTCTGAGAGGATCTGCTACAGCCCAAAGCTTCCTCTTTGACAGGCATCAAAGAAGGCTGCCATAGACAGCCAGCTCTCACAAGGGGTCTAGCCTGAGGTCTCACAGCTCATCATCCTAGTTTAAGACTCCCAGCCTCTTCCTACCTCTGGTGACTATAATAACACAGACCTGAGCCCGGCAGTGGTGGCGCATGTCTTTAATCCCAGCACTCGGAAGGCAGAGACACGTGGATCTCCGTGAGTTTGAGGCCAGCCTGGTCTACAAGAGCTAGTTCCAGGACAGGCCCCAAAGCTACAGAGAAACCCTGTCTCGAAAAACAAAACAACAAAAACAAAACAAAAAACAAAACTCCAGACCTTCTGTAGGTGCTAGAGGTTACAGATTACTGACAATGACAACCCCCAGGCCAAAGCAGTAACACTCCATCCCTCTAGGAAGGAGCTGTATTCAGGAGCCCCTGGGAGGGGCCTCCTAGGATGGGGAGGAAAGGGAATTTGCTGAATAGACATTGAGAAGACTTAATCCCTGGGCAAAGTCCCTCAGGTGCCCAGGGACAACGCTGGGCAGTAAGCAGAGCAGGGTGCTGGAGCTTGCAGGGCCCCTAAGGAAATAGCTTGCAGGGAATGGCCCAGTCCCCATCCCGGGGCTGGAGACGGACTGACCCACAAGACTGACCGGGACATTTCACATGCACATGGGCACAGAACAACACTCATCTGGGAAAAGATATTCAGATAGGGTTCAGGTGATGAGCACTGTAGGATGGGGAAGGCTTTACCGTCTCCCGTCCATCTTTGCAGGTAGAGACCAATGTCCCGCCCCCCCCCCCATCCCCACCGGCCTCCACTGAAAGCCCTTCTGGATCTAGCCCTACCCTTAACCTCAGATTTGAATCTGCTGACCTGAAGGCCTGGGTCTTCTCAGGCCACCTGAGGAAATCCGTTTTCCACACCCACCTGGTGCAAAGGGCTTCCCTTTTGTCTCTATCAGGTGCACAGACGATCATGATAAGGTTTGCAGAACACAGAGGAACAGAGAAAGAGGAGGGCAACATTCTCCTGGGGTCCTTAGGCAGTCTTAGCTAGAATAAGCATGTCCTGCCTGGGTGCTGTAGAGTGTCCATTAAATGTATCCGATGCCTACTGGTGGCTGCCTGCCGTGTCTAGCTCTATTATGCTCCTGGCCAACTGTTGCCCATCCCTCGGAGAAGTGCCACCCCAAGAGAGTTGGGCTGGGGGCCCAGCACTCCTAGCCGTAGGATGACAAGGGTCTGAATAAGGCCTCGGGGCCAGGCAGGGTCTCCCCTTGGGGGCCCCAGCTCCTGGGTAAACATTAATGGGGCTCCACACACAGCAGGTCATGTGCGCACTGGGCAGATCTTTGACCTGCAACTGCTCCCGCTGAGCCTCCTCCCTGCTGGTGCCCCTCACCACACATGCAGGTAGGAGCTCCCAGAGCTAGACCAAGCTAATGGACACTGGACGAGAGCTGAGTGACCACCAGCCAGGTTCAGGGTTTGGGCACCATTTTGAAACCCTTAGGACCTTAGAGCAAGTGAGAAGAGCCTAGGACCAGGCCAAAGGGAGGGCACACAAAAGACCCCTGGGCCTGGGCCCAAGCACTGGGGGAGGGGTCAGGGTAGACTAGGAGGATGCAAAGAATTCCAGACCCAGAGGCGCATGGGGCCAGAACAGATAGAAGGGATCTGGTATGGGCAGGGGGTTCCGAAGCCCTGCTCCTAAGTTGAGGGTGGGGTGGGGCGGGGCTCTTATCAAGCAAAGACGTCACCTGTTTGGTATCAAATACCAAAGTCTAAGCTGGGACCATCTGGAGTGTCCTCATTGACACTTGATAGGAGAAATCCCAGGGTTCTCGAGCTACCGGCTACTTCCAGGTAGTGCCCGAGAA